GAAGTTAAGTAGCAAAAAATGGAGTTGTGGCTGAGGTGATAGAGTGCCAGTCATGAGTGAAAAGGCTGAGTAAGCGTGTGAGGTGTGAGTCCGCAGCGGGCGCTGGTGGCTCACAACTGTCATCCTAGCTACTTGGGAGTCTGTGATCTGAGGATTGTAGTTCAAAACCAGCCAGGACAGGAAAGTGTGTGAGACTCTTATCTCCAATGAATCACTAGAAAACCAGAAGTGGACCTGTGGCTCAAAGTAATAGAGCATTAGCTTGAGCAAAAGAGCTCAGGGACAGCACCCAGGCCCTGAGTTCAGTGCCCCTCCTCCCCCGATAAAAAAGGTGTGAACCTCGGACTTCAAGCATCCGTAGCAGTACACACATCAAAATAAAGTAACATAAAATAAAGCTAGAAAATAAACCATGCCAATCGTTTGGGAGAAGGGAAAGGCATGCACACAAATAGGATATACCATGGCAAAGTCTGGATGAAAGTGGACAAAATAGAGCCCACTATAGATATGAAACTAGAACCTTTGTCTTTTTCCTTTTTCTTTTTTGGCAGCGTGCAGGTCAAAGACTTAGAAAATTGGCCGAAACTCACTTACCACATCTAGGTATTTTGTCATCAGTTAACATAGCTATTTACAATGTAGACACTTGCACCGGGCCAAGTGCTACGGCAATAAAAGACAAAATTCCAGATCTGAGCAGCTGCTATTAAATCATTCTTACACGAATGGCCCCAAGCATTCCACTCACCTCATTTCCATTGATGTCAGGGAGAAATCCCATTACATCTCATTTCCCGTTAGCACTGGGAACGTGCTTGCTCTTGTCGAAGTCTGGCTCCGCCTTCTTTTTCCTTTGTTGCCCCCACAGAATTTGGTCCCTACCACTCTGAGACTGATTTTCATTTTCTGTTCTGGCGAGCTGTCTGTGTCACTATCCTCTAATTCAGAGGTCAGCGAAATAAGGTCTTCAGGTCAGATCTGCCTCCTTAATACCTATTCTTCTAAATAGAGTTGAGTTGGAACACAGCCACACTCGTTGCTTTTAAGCACTGCCTATGGCCGCCTTCGCATCACTTCAGTGGAACTGAGCAACGGCAATCCTGTGGTTTGCCAATGCCCCAAATGTCTCCTATTCTGCCCTTTATGGGAAAAGCTTGCTAATATATTCAGAGCTCTTTCAAGTTGTATTTTATTCTTCTTGACTTCAGCCCAAACATCAGTCCATTCAATGGAATCAATGAGGGTTTTAGACCTACTACATGGGGGCCACTATTTAGGCACTTGGGGTACATCATCCAAACACAAAGCAAAATGGGGAGAGACAGCATTGGATAAAGGAACAGAATATGTTGGCAAGACATGTTCTGGCGAAGAATAAACTTGAGATGGGGAGGATCCCCATGATGGGTGGGTGGCCATGGTGGTAGTAGGAGAAGCAGTTTTATGGGAGTTCAGCAAAGGTGACACTGGAGCAGAGCTATGTGGATTCCAAAACCTGCAGGGCTGAGCAAAGGACAGGGTGTGTTTGGCATGCCTAAGGACTCCCAGGGCACAGCCAGCAAGGGGTGGTGTGGGAGAAAATGAGCTCACTCTCCGGGGTTGATTTTATTCAAGTGAATTTCTCTTTGACTGAGGTGGGAAGCCCCCAGAGGGCACAGCAGAGGAGAGATTCAGGATCGGTCATGTTCTAACAGGCTCTCTGGGATCTGAGGAGAGGCTGTAGATGAGGGACCAGAGTGAGCAGAAGCCAGGAAACCATTTTCTGTGGTCTTTTGATAATCTAGATTTTTCTTTTTAAATGATGCCAGCTTGGCCCAAGATAATAGAGATGGGGTGATGAGAATGCTGGATTCAAGCTTCTTGAGCCAGCTCAGAGCTTGGCATACAGTATCCATCTCTTGAATGAGTGAATGAAAAGCTGGTATTTCCATTGGGTGACCAGTAGAATCCCCTCTGGAAATTCTAATGGTGTCACTTGTGTACTAAGTAGTATCTTGGCATTTGCATTAAAAATACAACCATTATTACCTCTGAATATATATCACCAGTATGAGGTTTCTGGATCCTATAGTTCTTCTATTTTCAGTTTTTTGATTAACCTTTGCACTAATTTACCATCGATTGCATTAGAATACTGTCCTTGAAGAACACTTACGTACAAATACTATATGCCAATTGAACATCAAAATTAAGAGCTAGATGTGTTGGTATATGTCAGTAAGGGTAGCATTTGGGGGTGGAGCTATTACAAGTTCAAGGCCAGCCTGAGTTGAGATAATCAGGAAATCCTGTAAATAAATAAGAATGAAAATCAAACTTAGAACCATCCTAGATCTCCTGATATTACCTCCTGCTTCTTCATCTGTTGCCATCCACCAAAACATATTCCTTTTCACATGAGAACAAAACAAAGTAAAAGAGCTGCATTTTTTCTTTTAATTTTTATGCTTCTGATGGAAAAGGTGAAGACCTGTGATTTTTGAGTTTTCTTTTGCCATGATTAACAAAAATAATGTTTAAGAGGTAAAAACGTTTCAGTTTCTTCTAAGCTATCTACAGGAGGAATTGACTGGCATCAATTGATGTGGGATGATTAAACAACCTTTGGGTTTTCATTCCAGGCTGTACGCACACGTGCCAACATTGGAGCTTGAACTCAGGCCCTGGTGCTATCCCTTAACTTTTTCTCTCAAGGCTGAGAGACTTGAGCCCGAGCTCCCCTTCCAGCTTTTTGGTACTTAATTGGCAATTTGAATCTCATAGACTTTTCTTTTTTTTTTTTGTCGGCCGTGGGACTTGAACTCTGGGCCTGGGCGCTGTCCCTCAGCTCTTCAGCTCAAGGCGAGCGCTCTACCACTTGAGCTA